GCCAAATGCGGACCTCCCCCCGCCAAAAAAAAAAAAAAAAAAAAAACTCGGAACAAAACAAGACGTCATGCAGAAAACTAAACTGAACAACATTTAAAAACTTTTTTTTTTCTTTTTTTAGCAAGAATACAAGTCTTTATAAAAGCCGGAAGCCGGGAATCAGGCCCGGCGTCCCTTACAAAATTAAGTGGGGCCCTCAGCGGGCAAGGCATCACCGGCCAAGCACTGCGAGCGCACCACCAGATGTCACCCCACAGTCAACTCCACTACCAACTCCACAGCCCCTACCACTGAAAAATCAATGAAAATTATCATTAAAAAAATCGAAGTTCATCACCAAGAAACTCTAATCACAACAGTAGTGACAACTACATCAGGCGCCCCATGGGAGGGTGAAGAGGTCCATTACAACAATGATCAAAAGTTACAACAGGAGGCAGTATTATCGGAACACAGTGTTCGATCCATATTTCACTCGCCAAATGTGAGAGACGCTGGACCCATTTTCCAGCAGGTGCAGCTCCCCACAAATAGATGGAGCTTCCCAGAGATTGCTAGGGTAGTCTGCTCTTATCAGCTATCCTAGCATCAACTCAGGGTGTGTTCTTTAAAAAAAAAAAAAAAAAAAAGTGACAACCCTAATTTAGTGACCCAAATTCCACCAACCATGAAAAGAAAACCATACGCAAAAGGAAACTACAATCAAAACCACAGAAAATAAACCAGCGGTCAGCGCTACCTGATCATGTCCTCTATTCATCCAGAGTTACTACCAACCCTAACCCCTGCCAATCCGCCCTGCAACCCGCGCGGCAGGGGTCTGTGCCCACAGGCCCCAAACTGCTGACAGAGACCCCGCAAACCCACCCACCTCCTCGCGATTCAAAGTGGATAGCACCTCCCCACACTCTTCATACAAAAACACAAACTCCCACCGCGATGCTGTTTTCGCTAACCAGGGGATTACCGCCCGGGAGCTGTTTGGGATTACCCCACCTCCCGGGCGGCACGGGCCAAAAAGCCCGCCAAAACCCACCCACCCACCTCCTCGCGATTTAGGGTAAGCCCCTCCCTCAATTCTGCATACACCCCCTATGGATGCTTTGCTTCCCCGCCCTCCATGACGAAGCCCCAGTGGAGCAATGCTCACCATTCTGCCTCAACAATTCAGATGAGCCTATTAAGATGAAATGAATACCTGACCCAATTCAACGTCTCAGTGGTAATACCCTACCTCCCGCGCGGCAGGGGTCAAAGACCCTCAGGCTGCAAACCCACCCACCCGCGTCCTCCCGATTTAGGGAAAACCACTTCCACTAATCTGCACCTTCTCACAAGGAAACCCCACCACCCACCATAATGGCATTTCTACAGAGCGGCACTCTCTCTTTCATTTCATCGCATGCTGAAACGCTACACAAAAATCACAACAAATTACGACAACTATACATCCAAATTCTTTACCAAATTTAAAAGAAAAACAAAATACATAAAACAAATAATAATAAGAAGAAAAATAAGAAAAAATGAAGAGAGAATTAAAAGCACTACCTGGGTGGGCATGTTTTAAACACCACCATCTTTGGAGATTTTTCTGTTTTTTTTATGGCTTAGTCAAATACCCTGAAAATTTATAGATGTGTATCTCATATGATACAAAACTGATTAAAACCAAATTGAATAAATAATAAAATTGTTTAGGGGGGTGAGTATTCCACTCACCCATCCTTTGAAAGGATTTCACATCCGACATTATCAGAGGAGCCCACTGAGATAGAACAGCATGATTACTCACCCCAAGGGCATCGCCACGCCACTCTCCAACTGTGCAAAATGAGAATGAACTTCCCCCTATAACAKGGCCAGATGCACCCGCCACATTTTTGACTTTTTCACATTTCCAGAGTGGTGTGGCGAGGCCCTACAACTCGCTCCAGGTGCAGCGAGGCCCATAGCCATTTTTATTTTTTATTTTTTTTGTTTTTTTTTATAGATTTTTTTGGACCATTTCTCGATTTATGCGTGTCATCCTTGCGCAGGGGCCATGCTAATCTTCTTTCTCTGTATCGTTCCAATTTTAACGGATGTCCCGAAGGACAGCCATTGTGTTTTCGCCTATCTCCCGGCCCTCCTGCAAAATGAGAATGAACTTCCCCCTAGATCATAGCCAGATGCGCCCGCCACATTTCACATTTCGAGAGTGGTGTGGCGAGGCCCTACAACTCGCTCCTGGCGCTAAGTCCCACTTGCAGCGTTGAGCTACCTCACCTCAACGCCCGAATCTGGACGTGTTTCTGGAGACGTGCAGTTCAGGAAACTCAACACAGTTTCTGCACATCTCCGCAAAAGCGTCCAGATTCGGGCGTTGAGGTAGCTCAACGCTGCGAGTGGGACTCGGCCCCAGGTGAGTAGTGCAGCCAGGCCCATAGCCATTGTGTTTTCGCCCATCTCTCGGCCCTATACCCCATCTGCCGCTTCTTTGAAAACTAATTTGGACCATTTTTTATTTTTTAAATCTAAGTTAGAACTAAAACGCATCTAAGTTGGAACTAATGGGAAAAAGAGAAAGGGAAAAAAAAAAGAAGGGAACTACAAAACATTTGGACCATGTCATCCTTTTTTTATATCCTCCCAGTTTTTTCATTATTATTATTTTTTGGGGGGGTTGAGAAGCGGCCATGCTAATCTCCTCTGTGTCCCCCCCGCCCAAAAAAAAAAAAAAAAAAAAAAAAATCTCCTGTGTAACGTGCCTGTTTTAACAGATGTCTCAAAGGGTAGGGAAGGTGGAGAAGGAAACACCAACGTACATGAGGCAGATCTAGATGTGAGGATTGAGCCCTCAAGAAGGGGCCTTGCCATGATGTACATGTTCTGGGCTAAGGCCCCAGCAAGCCTCGTGCCCGCCCTAAGTGAAGGGGCCTTGCCATGATGTACATGTTCTGGGCTAAGGCCCCAGCAAGCCTCGTGCCCGCCCTAAGTGAAGGCGGGCCAGCAAATCAACAAGAGCCCTCTGTGCAAACATTTCACGAAGTGGGGTCCATACATTTGCAGCACGCCAGTTGGTTGGAGTGCACCGAGTCTCGGATCTCAGCAAATGTGGAAATCCCAGGGCCTCTGAGTTAGTTAGGCCCTGGGCACT